CATCTTATGAGCTAGTGCAACAATTTTATATAATTATGCTAGTAGAAAATTGAACGGTTAATTGTAGCAAATCGGTAGCTTTAGATTTTTTTTCAAAATTGAGAGCTCATATTGCCCACATTTTGAAAAAAACGTGGGCAACTAGTATTTTTTTTTTAGTGTTTAATAAATTAATACTAGTACTTTTTTTTTGCTTTGTTAATATTTTCTGAGCTAGTACTATTTTTTAAATCCCTATTAATTAATATCTTAATATTAATCGTACTATTTTTTAAAATCCCTATTAACTAATATCTTAATATTAATCATATAATGAAATAATGCCTAATAACCTAATAATATTAGTCCATGCAACCATTGTGTTACAAGTTGTAAGGGTCAATCCAAATTTCAATCCAAACAAGTCAATGAAATAATGCCTAATATCCTACTAATATTAGCCAAATATTAAGAAATTAACTTGGCTCCAGTGGTTTTATAATTTTTTCAAATCTTGAGTAAATTTCATACAATGCCCTCTTGGACGCCTTATTTAGTTCCAATAGAAAATGGCGTGGGCGTAGAAGATGGACGCTTGAAATTAGAAGAGGTATTTTTGTCCCACATCGAAGAGATATAGAAAAAAATAGGTTATAAAACAATTTTTTTCCAAAATTGATGTTCGGTCTGAGGATGGCATCCTCGGACTACTTTTTAATTTTTTTGTTAGTAGGGCGGTGCCTAGGTTTTAAGGGTAATGTGAGGTCTCAATCTTCGGACTACTCTATCTTTCTTATTTTTTGATAAAAAAAACGTTTCGAGGTCCCAATCCTCATACCATACTTTATTTTTTAATTTTTGAGAAAAACACAGGTCTGAGGATGGGGACATTGGATTGATCTCTAGACTGAGCATAACTCAGTTTTAGGGTGGTCCGAGGTCCTTATCAGCAAACCTCACTTTCTTTTTCATTTTTTTTGTGAAAAATAGTCTATAAGGGTTTTGATGTGTTAGTAGGGCTGTCCAAAGAT